CTGCTAAGTAATAGCCCTCTTCATACTGAACAACTTCTGTGAATAAACTTTTCTGATATCTCTAAAAATAACGGAGATAATTAGAGATAATGTAGCTGCGTCGCATGACTGAACGGCCGAGTTGTGGGAAAAGCGCTTCGGTAACTGGTGTCCGATTCCTGCACGGTACCTGGAATTCAATTCCTCTACAGATCCGACTAGTGCGGGGAACGAATGTCTACTGTATTTTTCGGTGGAAAATTAGAGAGTCTATGCGGTGGCGGCACCTGGCGGCGATATCCACAACTAAATGAAAAAAATCCAGAGTTAGTTCCACTTTCCGCCATCTGGTGGCTACTATAATTTTACAGATTTCTTGATTTTCCAGTTTCCTCACTCTTTTTGAAATACAAATTCTGCGCGAAATTTACCTTTACATTTATTTTAAATGTGATTTTAACAAAATTTAATATTTATTATTTATTTCCTTATAGAAAATATGGGATAAGCGTAATGATAGGCTTAATAAACAACGCTTTATTTTTTCAATTTTCGGAGTAAAGTGAAGTGTTCTTCGTGGAATTCCAGAATTTTGTTTTAGTACGTAAGTTTATATTATTTAATTGCGTTTGTTTTTGAAAAGTTGGTTTTTAAATAATGGAAAATTTGAAATTGGACATACGTGCAATCATCACATTTTGAACAAAGCTTAGTTAGAAAACGGCTGACTACTTTATAACTCCGATCTGGATCATTCAGACTTCTTCCCCTTTCCTGGGTCGAAAAGAACAATTCAATGTAATTCACTTGGAATCACTTAAAGCTGTGAAACAAGCTCTTATAAATTGATTCAGTTCAAAGAATGCTTCCTTCTACAGGCAAGGTTTAGAGAGGTGGAAATATAGGATGACGAATTGCATTGATAATGAAGAATCATATGTCGAAAAATAAATATCCACTGATTCATGATTTGTTTTATTAAAATTTTCCACAAACTTTTTGATATCCCCACATATGTATAATGCTCCATTTGTGATAATAATACTCAGAATTCAGTTTTTATCGGCATTTAGAACCCACGAAACATGTGACAAAAATTACATTAGCTGTTAGGTGTATTCTATATCTCCTCTGTGGTGGGTGTACATTTCATTACTTTTCTTTAAGTAATAATGAATTACTAAGTTTTATAATTCACTTGTTATTCCTTGTAAAACACAATGAAAATACATTGTGGTACTTCTTAATTTTTGTTATATTAACTATGTAGTGTAATGAAAGCATTTCTTCACTTAACACGCACTGAGAAACTAGTTAATATGAGTCGTATTCAAACACTTGGTTCCTTATTCGCGTAAGTAAACGACTGACAAATTGTTGGAACATTTAAAAGGGGATGATAATGGTAACACTATCTTAAATTAACTCTTTAAGTATTGTCCATTAATCGTACATTGATTAGTCGTCTGGCGAAATAAAAAGAAGTAATTGTTTTTAGGTGTTGGTTTTCAGAAATGTGTTTATTAAAATTTCATTTTCTTCATTTTAAGAAATTCGATCAACCATTAAACTTATACATATTGTTTCTTACTGACTTCATACGTACAAGTGGACCGTAAGTATTTCTGTATTATTTACAGAAGTAATTTAGACACAGGTCTTTGTATAAAATTACATCGCATTGATTATTGGAAGTACACAGACGTTAAAACAACAGCGAGGGCGTAACAATTGTGTGTTAACTTTTATTTTATAGTTTCAATATCTTCAGTCTCACATGCTAAATGAAATTTAAGTAATCTTTAACACAAATAATCGTATAAATATTGTCCATTTTTTTTTTTGTATTTTCTTCTATAACAGCTTAGTAAGATGATTCTTCGTGAATGCGTTTCAGAATATAGACACTTAAAAATTTTCGGTACTTTCCATGTTTATCAATATGCTTCAATCGATTGTTACACAGATCTGTATGTCGGTAAATTGTTTTCCTTAAGTCAATATCTGTTAAATACTTCCTAGGAAGAATGATGGTCAGGCTAATTAGGAAATTCCTCTTGGACTGTTACAAAGGACCATGTTTACTCTTAGAAGTCATATTGTAGTAACACACAGCGATTTCTATCTATCTATAGAAAGTTTTCTCTTGATTATCCTCTAACTGTCTTAAAAATTGATTTCAAAATAGATAATATTAAAAGAGCCGACGAGACAGTTGCATACCGAAGATTCTGGTAAGGATGTCATGAGTACTTTGAAGTACGCTCAAATAGGAAATTCTAAACCTAGGTCGATGAATGTGTTTTTCACTATCTATGTCTTACTAGGCGAAGCAGACATACAACATGTAGTTTACGTGATGAATCCAAGATGTTATTCTGATATAAAGGTTCTGAAATGGTGGTACAACCCAAAAGAATGTGGTTCTACATGTGAAAATAAGTAAAAAATGTAGAATAACATTTTTTCGTACGATGCTTGTTTCCAAAATAATCAATTTTTAAAGTTCATCTAATGCGTTTGTATTCAGTGACAATAAGTAGAAACAGAATGCAATGAATAGACCCGCCAGCCAAGTCCTATTCAATTGCACGCGTATTCAGGAGATTTTCAAATCCGATTATTTTCCAAAAACGATGCATTGTATGAAAAAAACTTCTTCAACATTTTCGGCTAATTTTTGCATATAGAATTACATCCTGTCGGGTTGTATTTTCTGTATACAAGATCTGGGATTTTCATCACATTCAAATATGTTGTACTTTATGTAAAATTAGGGGAGTTTTATGTCCTGTTTAGCTGGTATCGGAATTCTTTAAAAAGTACAGAGCCTCAAAGTTCGGTATATTTTATTTATGTTTACGAAAACTGTCGTCACGAATAAACTTTTATTTTTGCAACTATTAAACGTTCAGTTCGATAACTGAACTTTTAATTTTTTTATGATCGTAAATGATTGTTCTTCCTAACGGAATACTTTATCCATTGATAAAGTCCTTTTTGAAATCGCTATACGCTTCTAGATCCATCATGAATTCTAAGAGTTAATATGATCTGAATTCGGCCCTTCGTGGACGTCTTTTATTGTTAACAAAGATCCACCGATAAATGATGTCTTTAGAACAAAATGTATTTAACATTACAAACATGGGAGGCTTCCTTCAAGCATCTGTATATAGTTAAAATTTTCGGATGCCATATTCAAAATTATAATACAGACTTCTCTATTCTTTTTCCCTCTTAATTCGATAGGCTTTTGGTTAAACGACTAGAAGTGCTACGGAGACAATTTATTTACACGTATAATGTCTACTATGTTCATCTTGTTTGTTCGAAGTAACCAGGTATGATGTGATCCTATACTCGCCTCGCGTGGCGTTTCACATTCGATCGCTTAGTGATGCAAATCGATTAACAATCAGACGATAACGTAAACATTTATTTTATTTTTTTTCCGTGACATTGTTGGATGTACAAAAAGATATACTTCATTCGAGGGGAAAAAAAACAAACGAACTTCACTTCCTTGTAGACTAGTCTCACAATCAGTTACAAACACGGTTAGTCGAGTAGCGTGCAAGTAGCGGGTAGTAGGTTACAAATTAGGCCTAATTTAATTAGACGTGAACTTTGGTGCACACGGGTTCGCCTTCTAACCGCTCAGGTATGTTTTCGGTTATCTTTGGTACCATGATTCACAGAATTGTGACAAGAAAATAAATATGCTTCGATCGAACATTAATCCTTCGGTTGTTCCGTTAAATTAGTTCAGATATAATGAAACGATAATACCTGAACGAGTTCGAAGGATAAATAAATTAATTACTTATACTTAACGGTCCTATTAATATAAGGACCTGTTAAATGCTCCCGAATTCGCGATAAGAGACGAGCGTTTAATGAATCTCTGGCGAGTTCTCTCAGTGATTGCCCTAATGCAAATTTTTACTAGATTTTTCTTTTTTTATAAATTAACTCGAACAACGCTTCGATCGGATCAATTCGAGATACAATACGCATTATTATATCAAATTAATCCAACTCAGATCATATTTCCAGTAGTTAACATTCCGTTTATCTATATTAACGTTAAGGTCAATGGAAACGACAGGATATAACATGCGAGCATTTAACGGGTCCTGACTATGTAACGTTCCATGCACGTCGAAATTGGCCTCAATTTCGAACAACATTCTTCACTCGACCATTTTTCCTGGTGTTACGGAAAAATATCACATTCGTTTCGCGTTGCGGAAACGTGATGCGAGTCGTTTCGCAATTTTTACCGTAGAATCTGTACAATTCGCTCATCCGAGGATGTTGCCGCGTTCCATCATTCCTAAACACTCTGCATAGTCGCGCGAGTTCGTTCGCGTTTCGATACAGCATATTGTCGCAGCTATTTACACATATTAAAATAATTACACATTCAAGTTACGTATAGTCAATATATATAATATGTATTCTGTCTCCCCTCTCCCCTTTTATATTTATGTACATTATATATCTTATCCGCTGTGTGTATCGTGTATCCGTAAAGGTTCCGTACGCACTGTATCCGTTTAAACAATATATTATGAATCCGACGTAACACGAAGAGTAACAAACACAGTCTACAATATGACTCGGAACTGTAATATACGATCAAATATCTTGAACATTATTTACACGCCATGCCTCGATTAATCTGTCTCTATGTATTTACCGTCTCTCGTAACCGTCCTTGTTCAACAGACGCTTATTCGAATTATCTTTGGTTTCCAATCACGCCGATAATACCTCTAACACGTTTCATTAGACAAGTACAAATAACACCCTAAACAGCGCGTACAATGTATGCGTACAGAGTTATAAACAGGACTTTCACGCGCGAATGATGAACACGAATGTCGGTCGAATAACCTGGATCCCTTTGCTCCTTGAACACCTGACGCAACATATTTAACGCGGGGACACGGTGTCTGTCGATAAGTATCTTTTAATAGGCGTAGCAATGACGAACAGATCGGGATTGGTTGATCAATTAACATGCGTTCGCTAGTCGATTTTGGGGCTCCGTTCAAGCGGCGACCTGGAAGCAGACGTTTTAGGTTAGAATGACGCGACGGAGGTCTTTGTTGTGATTAGGCTGCGTATGCATTTGTCGTGTGTACAAAGGTGAAAAACAGAATAGAATGGCAACTCAGATGAAGTCAAATAACTCTTAACCTTTAATCTGTAAAGGACGGAAAGTCAATTTTTAGGCTCCAGTGGGATCGTTTATTTTTTATAGTGTAATACTATAACAAATATATAAATGTTCTAAATCGAAAATATACAAAATCATGAACAAACTTGCCCGTCCTCTAAAGGTCAACTGGTGACGTCGAAATCTTATTATACAACTAGTTTTTCTGTATTCTTGTAAAGGAAAACATGGGAATAGAGAAGCATTTAGTAAGTAACTATAGAATAAATATAAAATATTCTAAAAATATTCATGAAGTTCCTTAGACATCACCTCATTAGTTAAGCGTTAACTGAATTCTCGTTGCTCGACTATTCTACGATTTGAGTATTGCGTTATTCGAGCTTTCTGTTCTTTGAACATTGTATGTTTATGTGCATATAATTTAACCCCTATCGGACGTTGGCGCTTTATATATAACTTGCCACTGAGTCGGAGATAGAACGTTCCAATTTGTTCAGTCTTGTCACCTCCCACGTGACCGTACAATTTATACGGTAAAATCACAATGTCACGTTCGAGTTGACATACGACCGATAAGGGTTAATATAAGTGTATGGAACTGTTCAGGTGGCATCCCTGTCGTAAGATGGAAAGAAAACTTAGTAACTATAATGATTAAGTGTACCAATAAATAGTCCACTATTTCTTTTGTGAAACTTTATTTGTTTTCAAGTAATTGAAGTACCTATCTTTTCTGAACAATATTCATTATTTGTACCCACTATCTTCTGCCATGTTGAGTAGACAAAAGATTTGAAAGATATTGTGAATCTAAAATGTGTTGAAACCATATAGCAATTGTAGTCAATTATTTATTCGTATACTTCGTATAAATAATTGGTTACCAATTATCCCTCCCCGCCCCACATAAAAGTGTTTAGTGTCACATAAACCTATTTATTAACCCGAATTAAATAAGAGTAAATGATTGAAAAAAATAGATGATTAAGAAACACCATGCAATTTAACTGGAAGATGCTGCAAAGAATGTGCTAAATATCGCCGTATTATAATAATCAAAATGAGTTTTTTAAATAAAATTAATCCATAAATGGAGTCAATTGAAATTCTAAACAATTACATCGCTTACCTAGTAATTAACCCGTTAGTTCAACATGGTGACAAGTACCAGATGCAACGTCACTAAAAGGACATTAATTGACATTCGACCAGCGAAATTTCCTGCGAACATAACAGAAATTATGTGAAAAAATAATTTATATAAACCCAGTTGATGTTAAAATTTCTTTCAAACGTATTTCCAAGCTACTCCTGTAAGTGTTAAATTCTTGCGATTGTTAGAGTCCGTGCTTGGGTGTGTCATAAAATAACTATCATATACAATACTTGAAAATATAATTAAGTGTAAATAGAAAATCGTGTAACTAATAAGAAACTGCATGGAGGCTGTTTGGAACATTGCTTTGTATATTTCTTTATACAAAGACACTGTTTAGCTTCTGAACAAAGTTTACGTCTTATTTAAATTAATCATTTTCCAGAATGAATTTTTATATAACACCAGAAGAATTAAACTCTACCAAACCCGTGAAAATAGCGAATTTCGAATTTGTTTGTTGTACAAATACTGAAATCATAAAGAAGCTTTTGTCTAGATTTATGTCGATATTTAGATTTTAAGAACATATTTTATTTTATACTTTATTATATTATAGTATCTGTTACACAATTCAATTAACTTCTCCAAGAAAATTTTCCCCATCTTACACTATCAAAATGTTTTCGACTCCCTTTAGCAAGGCAGTTTTCATCTGCCTTCCCAAAGAAACTATTATAGTTCTGAATTACGTTTTTTTTTCCAAAGAAAACCTTCATTACAGTTTCTAAAGACATTCCCCTTCCTCCTTTATCATTAGGTCCGACTTCGATTCTTTTTACACAAAGAATTTTTCTTCGCCGCGATAAAGAAAATTGATGCCCCAGTTCCTCTTTCGATTTATATTGTAATCGATCCTTTTTTAAGAACCCGACTTGTACATAACTTCTTAAAAGAACACCGACCTGTTCTTTATTATTTAATACCATTTGCGCTTTTCCGAAAACCAATCTCTATTCATCCTCATAAGCTAAATTCATCGTTTGCTGTCCCCGGTCGTTAGTATCGCGATCAATATTAACATGCTTTCTGCGTGCGCTATTATTTCACCGATAATGCTAGGTAACTGTTAATCGATGCGTTACGGGGCCGATAAACATGTCGATGAGTTCCTCGAGGAAAATATTTTCCGCGGCCGGAAATGATGGTCGCGGATACAATTTTCCTTAACGTCGGGCCGTTAAGCTTTGATTACGATCCCGCCAAAAAGTTTACTAGATATATACGACGCCGTGACGTTATGATACTTTGTTCGTGACACCGCCGTTACGGTAAAGTCTGGGCCCCGCTAATGTAAACTGCATGTCCTTAAATTAGGGGAGTGCGTTCCCGCAAACCGGGCCGTTTCACTTTATCTCTTCTTCTCTCGCCCTCTGTCAGCAGAAGGAGTTTCCATTAGCAATAAGAATTAACTCCCCTGCCTTCCACGGCTAATTACTTTCTTATTTGCGAGCTTCCTTGTTTTACCTATCGTTTCTCCACTGCCCTGTCCCCTCCCACGGTTACCTTAGAAAACGTTTCCGTTGCGAAACTTTTTTCCGTAGCCTCCCGCCGCCGTTGGTCGAGTTAATCGTCCACAGAGAGAAGACTTATAGGACTGACACAAAATGGCAGATCGGCGGATCTAATCGCTGACTTTTCAAGGTATATTTCAAAAGATTTATGAAGGCCAATTTATGTAATGGCTACTGTAAGCTTTTAAAAAGTGTTTGAAGCAGTTGCATTAGTGGAAATTATTGTTTGACGATGTAAGTGGAAGATGTTGATTTAAAGTATTTAAGTCTCGGCAAATGGCATTAGCTGATGGGATAGGCTGATAACTATATTTTCCTGGAGAGTCTGTAGATAAATCTTCTGGAAACTTTGATTTTGTTTCGGATTATTTGTAGATACATTAAGCCGTAACGCAAAGTATTACGAACTTAACATGTAGTGATTATTCAGATGCTACGAAATAGACACTTTTAATAATTACTTATAACTATATGTGTTTAATTATAATTAGAACGCTTTACGGTATAAAAATCCGGTTGTTTTTAAATTGATTTAAGTTAATTTTCACCAGTGATATAACCAGGTAGGAGTGACTGTATGTAAAAAAATAAGTTGAACATATGAAATAATACATTTGAGACTTCATTTTCGAGAAAATTGACTAATGACAAACTAATCTGAAACACGCGAATTAGTCGTGGTAGTAAGTGAAAACGGAATGCAATGAACAGTCGAACTAACCAAGCCCTATTCGATTGCACGCACAGTCAGCAAATCTTCAAAGTCGACTTTCTCGAAAACGTAGTCCCAAATGAAAAGTTTTTATTATATTTTCGACTTATTTTTTCACCTACAATCACCTTCTATCCAATTGTACCTCCACTTATATGACACCCTGTAGTACACTCAAACAATATAGGTATAATAACAATATAGTATATTCCAAAATAGTTTTTCATTATTAGATTATACGCTGAACTTAAGTTTCTAATCATTGTTCTTATTGCACTTATAAGACAAAAAGTGTGAATTTCTGTGAAGTGATTCCTTTATAGATAGAAAATTAATAACCGGTTATGCATAATGTATTAGAAATTTTTTAAGTAGTATTTCCTTAAATCTTTATTTGATTCTAGTGAATATATCGGGGACAAAAGGAACGAAGGAATGTTTCCACTTGTTCACAAAAAGTATTCTAGATGTAAAACTACATCGTGTATTTAAAGTACTGATTTTTCACCGATTTGTTCTTACGTTATTGAAGAATAGTCATAAGTTTAATATAAATTGTTTTATCTTATCCATGTTATACACATATATAGTTTGTCAAAGGTATGCTGCATATATAAATGTTGCAAAACTGTTATAGAATATTTTTAGTGGTGAAATATTTAGGAATTAATAAATGCTTGGCAATTTCATTACAGTCATGTCATTACAGAGACACCATGGACGTGCAAATTGAATACCGTTGATTCTGTGTAGTTAGTGGATATATCCATATGATAATGATCCACCGACGTTGCTATCTGATGCAAACTAGGTCTAACTTCCATGGCTAATTAGTGTACATTGTCAGATGTATCGTCCAGTTGCGCCAACTTAATAACGAGTACAAATTTTAGCTTTCGAACTTATTTGTCCGCTACACATTTCATTCGCAAGTCTCCTGTATTCCTCGGAATGATACAGCAGATAGTTTCCAACAATGAGCACTCGGTTTTCGTAGTTTTAAAATGTTATCGACTACGTTGTTATCTACTTTCAAAGCAATTTTCAATTAATTTAAGTAGCGAATAATGGATTCTGTATTTTTTTTCAAACAGTTCTAAAATAAAATAAAAAAAGCACAATTACAACGAAATTAAATAGAACTTGGGATTACTAGAATTCACGAAGACTACAGCCACACTATTAACAGGCACCATTTTCGAATCCTTTTTCTAGTTCGAAAACTATTTAATGCACAATTTTAACATGAAGTTACAATTAAGTAAAAACGATCTTTTCAAACTCAATTATGTCGGAAACGAAGCAGGTTGCAACGCAATTTTGTTCCCTGCATATCACTCCCCCGAGAGAAAAGTGTCAGAAGTAAAAAATTTTCAATTTTCATTTTATTGCGTAAAATACTTTTTAATGCGGTGATCCACCATTCAGAAAAATGTCATAGGTTGAAGTTGCATGCTTCAAGTGAGATAACACTAGTGTCACTTTATTTAATGCATGATATGCTAATTGGATCCCTCCCCACTGCATTACAACAATCATTAATCCATCAACGCTGAGACACTTAAATCTTTATTTCAAATCTGTGAGATTGAATCTATGACATGAAATCTATTAAACAGACCTATTTTTTTCTTTTTTTATTTATTTTTGTAGGGAGTACTTGAATTTCTCAACTCAAAACGCGGAGATCTACTTCACGTCAGTGAAACTATGTATCTTTGCTGACAAAAGTTAGATATTAATCAGCACCAGAATTTGACACACTCTTAGAATGAGTGTTGCACCGGTGCAATATAGGGCGTCAAAGAGTTAAAGGTTCCACCAATATTAAAGCAGTTTTATCAAAATTTGGTGTCATACATATAATATCAAGCTCTAGATATAAGTAAATAATCTACAAATTAGACAAAAGTTAGAACAATCTTAGTTCTCATGTACAATAATTACATCCTTGTAGCAAAAAAACTAAATCAAACGTTATTCATTCTGCAAATACTGATTCATACTTTAAGGTATACCTATTAATTAGGAGGTACGATACTATAGATATACAGGGCGCTCAAAATAAAAGATCCAAAACATTAAGTGCTTATAGTACTCACCGAGTGAAGTAAAAAATGTCTAATCAACGTAGGTCCTACAAACAATTCTTTCCATGAAAAATATAGGAGAATATTATCACACTTCCTCTTATTTTAATACAAAATTCACATCTGCTGATCATAGATCAATGTACGTTTTCAAATGTTCCTTCCGTATCTCATATTGTCTTGAATCAATGTACTTCTAAACAAATTCTTCTCTTTACATTCAATATATGCAAAATGACTCACTTACGACATCGAACGTTCGTCAATATAAAAGTAGATTTTACATCGAAAGGATCTATTTTAAGATCTATATTGATTAGACACTTTTCCCTCCACTCGGTGAGTATTATTAGCCTCTAAGGTCATCGATCCTTTTCTTTGAACATCCTGTAAACAAGTTATGATTATATAACAAAAAATAAGTCGAAAAAATGAATAAACTTTTCTTTGAGCTTTCGTTTTCGAAGAAGTTAGGTTTGAACATTCATCTAAAACGCGTGTACGCGCACTGGCAATAAGTAGAAAGGGCCTGCAATGAACAGACGCGTTAGCCAAGCGCTACTCCACTGCCTCTGTATCCAACAAATTCTCAGGTTCAATTATTTCTAAAAAGAAGCATCATCCAAAAAATATTTTCTTATTGAATCACGTCCTGCCCAATTGAGACACCGGACCTAACCCGACCGGAGACACCCCATATATGAAATGGTGTGTAATGAATTTTCTTTTTCGCTCTTCTGAAAAATTAC